TGTAAATTAATTGAATTGAATAAAACTATATATTAATTTCAATATTAATTCAGGAAACTTTTTTTCTATTTTTGCATATTTATTTTTCCGATGGTATCTTTGTCGGTAAATGAAACTATTTTTTTTGTAGATTAATTCAGTAAGAATCCTTCACCAACGTTATGTTCGTTGGTGATTTGGAGAGAGGAAAAAAGCCAAACAAACTTCTGATTTTGTTCATGTTGGTAATAGTGAGATGTAGACAGCATCGTCCTTGTGAATTAGCGAGGTGGCTCACCTGTTTTATTAGTTATAGATGTGATTCTAGTCGGTAATTTACCAACATGGAATACTAGAAAAGGCTCCAGTATTACTATTTAGGCTTAATAGTGGAGAGGAATTTCTTGTCAGTAATTGGTTGTAGGTTTACCGATGTGACTTTAATCCATGTCAGTAAACCAATTACCGAGCCCACTTTCACTGACAAAGGCGTTTCCAACATGATTCAAGTGGGAAGGTTGTTTCACCGACGTCATTCCCTTTGTTTCTGACGTGATTTTTTGTTGGTGAAATAATGAATTCTAGTAGTGTATCATTTTAATTAAGTTAGTTGAACAACATAACTTAACTAACTTAATTAAAAAAATTGTGTAGCCTTAAATTGTCCCTAATAAAAACAAAAAATCTGTTCTTGGAACTCTCAACCTTCTTGAGTGGCAACGGCATAAGTTTACATGTCTTGGTTGCTTTCTTAATTCTTACTTCCATCTAGTAAATTGATTCTAAAGAATAATGAAAATTAGAACGTCCTAACACTTTAAATGCCATGATTTTTTTTGTAAAATTATTCAAATACTTTTAATGAATTTTTTTGTGTGTTGATTTATTAAGAGTATTTTAATTTTTTCATTACCATTCCTAACATTTTAATTGCCTAGATGTCCTAATTTTCCTCAATCCCTTGAAACTATCATTTTGTTGTTTGTAATGTTAATATGTTTTATTATTGTGTTTTCTATATTTTAATATTCAAAATTTTAACCTAATCACATATATTTAAAATAGTGTCAATAACTAATTAATTTGATCAAACCATACCAATCCAATGTAAGTTGGATTGGTTTGTGCTTACACCTCTTTTTACAAATTAGTTAAATGGTGTCATGTGTCACATTTATCTCATTGAATGGCTTTTATTTTGTCACATTACATGTGGTAGGATTTTGAAGCAGAAGCATGTGCATGTGGTGTTGCCAGCTACTGTCATGTGGCAATCCTATCAACCTAGCCAAATTCAGTTGGGTGTGATTGATTTTACTTTATATATTTAGCTTGAATGGTCGTTGCCACATCAATAGCAAAGTGGTTCATTTGTTGTAGATTTTTCAACATGCTTGTGCAAATTTTCAAACATGTCACCATGGATTTTCAACATGGTGCCAAAGGATTTCAGCATTTTAAATACATGGAGATAGAGGCAAGCAAAGCAAGGCTACCCCTCACAAACGAGACCTATGTTATAGACATTTCAATTCTCACAAAAATGTCTTAGTTTAAACTTTTTCCAATATTCCTTAGCCTTATACTGCTACAAAATCTAGAACTAGTTTATGTTTTTTTTTTATTTGAACATCTTCATCAATATATTTTATTTCCTACAATTCAATTCAACAAAATTGATGTCAAATTGATGTTTCTTTAATTTTTATCAAGTTTCATTTCATGTTGCTAGCACACTATTCACACTTTCGGCTTAGCTAGTTTAATTTACTTTACTCTCTCCAAAGTCATTTTCTTAGCTTTCTTTAAATTTAGTTTTACACTATATATCTTGATTGCACAACCTTTATTTCCTTCTTTATATTTTCATGCTTTTGCAGCAACATCACACTTCCTCCTTACAAATTTGTTTTCCTACCGTACACTCTCTTTTTCTCTTAAGTTTTAATTTGCTCCTTATATCTTGACTAACAAACTAATATTTTGGTTTTAGTTATAAGAAGTCCCTAATATTCTTCTAAAACAATTATTTATGAACTTTTATGCAATAATGCACACCCATTTCTACAACAATCATTAGACCATGTCATATTTCATCATTTATTTAATTGGTGCTCTTCCATCGACTTGTAGTCAAGTCTAGGGGTGGCAACGGGGCCTTGTGGGGCCGAGGAGTCCCTCCTCATCCATATCCCCATGAATGGCAAGGATAGGGATCCCGGACGGGATTTTTGGTGGGGGGTAGATTTTGCTCCCCATCCTTGTTCCCCATCAACGTATACAAAAATGTGAAATTTTTTTATATATAATCAACTAATATTCAATCAAAATGAACAAAACTTTAAAAATTCAAGTACAATTAACTAAAATTCTCTAAGCATAAAATCAAATATAACTTGTTTAAATATAAACAAAGATCTATCCAACATAAATAACTAAACCAACATAAGACTTGTACCTCGAACAACAACAACATCCTAATTCCACTTTTGCAAGAATATAATTAGTTGTAACCAATAAGATCAATGGATGAGTGATAAAATCAAATATAAATTGTCTAAACATAAACAAATATCAATCCAACATAAATAACTAAATCAACGTGAATTGGATTATGTAAAATTGGGCTAAATTTAATTTTTATTAAGTTAGATTTAAAATATATTGGATATATTGAGTTGGATTAAATTTAAAATAAAATTAATTTATATATTTTTTAATTTTTCATGGGGATGGGGATCTCTGTGGGCCTTGCGGAGAGGGGAAAATTCCTTACATAAATTCGTGGAGAAAAATACCTTTCTTACCCACCCCACAAGGAGAAATATTCTTCCCCACCTCACGCCCATGGCAAGGATTCCTATAAAGCCCTACAAGGATTGAGGAAAATCGCCACCTCTAGTCACCTTAACTAAAGTGAGTGGTATGCCTCCATAGTCGAACTGCTATGTGACTGAAAAGGAAAAATTTTGGAGACAATTGTTTGGATATAATAAAATGGTAGACTAGATTAGTTTAAAAATTTTATGAATGGATTAAACTAGTTTAATTTTAAAAATGCTAAAATTCAAACCAATTTGTATAGCAAATACCCTAATCAACTCCTATTATTCAACAATCAACTTTTCTCCCCTAAACAACTCAAATCCCACAACTAGGGTGTGGCCACCCACAAAATTGTTGACGTCACATAACCATTGATATTTTTTCTATAAATAATTAGTTATAATATTTGAAAATATCATAATATAAACTGCTTTTAATTTATTAAATAATAAATATAAGATCTTTTGTCATTTATTAACTAAAAATCATTGTTATTGAATATTTTTAATAATTAAATAAAGTAAAATTAGTATTTTAAAAAAGAAAAATAGTTATGCAGTTCAATAATTGTATCAGATTACATAACATTAATCATTAGATGAAAATTATGGCCACCAACAAGAATGCTATAGTGATGCCAATATCTTAAGTAACTTAATGGTAACTTCCTTTCATTAAAAGTAAGAAATTCTAAATTTAAGTCGCACAACATGCGGGTGGAGTGCAATAAGAGATGAAAGAGAGTTGTCTCTCATCTTACAATTAACATAACAAAAAAATGTTATAGTTACCAAAATTATAAAATATTGACTTTAAAAATAATAATGATAAATAAGACTAAAATTTAGATAAAAATTTAGAATCAATGAGGTGGCTTAAGTTACATTATTTAAAATATAAAAAGTAGACGATATATTATTTAATGATTAATATTTTTATTTTTAAAAAAATTTATGATGTTATATGTATTAACTAATTTAATAATATAATTTATACTATATTATTAGTTCTAAATTTTCGTTAATGATTAATATTTTTATTTTTTAAAAAATTTA